CCTTACAAATTTGGCACTTGATTCTTGACTTTTTTCTTTCTCTCCCATGTTTCCAGTTTTCATTGCTGCCATGTGGCTTGAATCCCTTCCCTTTGAGTTAAAATCACTGGTTTTTCCTCTATTTTTCTTATAATACTTGCTTTTTCTTTTATCCACATAGAACAGATCATTAGCTAATTTTTCTATGTTAAGATTGTTTCTTAAATCATAAGAAATAAGCTGAGCTACCACGGATTGATAGCCAGGTACAGGAGGCTTAAACATCACTGTTTTGAATGCTGCATAGTCTTCTCCCAAGCCATTCAGTAGTTGATAAATTTTTTCAACATCACCTAGTACTTTCCCTATCAAACCCAACTCATCAAAAATAGATTTATAGCTATTTATATAATCCTGAATAGGGACTGATGATTCTTTTTTAATGCTTTGTAATTTGTTTCTTAACAAGACTTCCCTTTCAACAGTATCTTGTGCAAATGCATTCTTTAATGTGTCCCAGACACCCTTAGCTGTTTCAATTCCAGTCATCAAAGTAAGTATAGATGGAGTGAGACGACTGGTAATCCAGCCCTTTACCAGTCGATCAATCCTCCTCCAATCTTTAAATCAGGGGTTAGGGTACTCAACTATAACCCTAGAATCCCTTTCAGGTACATTAATCCATCTAGAAGGAACTTCAATAGTTCAATTGAACCATCGACAAATTCAATCAAATCCTGACCTTCTAACAGACTCACCATTTGTGTACGCCAAATTAAAAAATTATCGGTAGACAAGTTACCAAATGAAACGAAGTTACCGATACTGGGATTCGCCGGATAAGGATGTTCATTCACCCGATTCCTCTGTCTGTCGTCGTGCCTGCTCCGTTCAGAACCATTCGATGTCCCTCGCCTCTTGCTACGCACTGTCGAAGACGACGACGAGCCATCCCCACTCCCCAGCGACTGGTACCATGTTAACAGAGCTATAATCAACAAACAGAGTAGATCTTAGCTTCAAGACTGTAATCCAAGAACTGATTACAAAAACTTAGATTGAATTAATGAATGTTATTCTACAATATAGATTCATTATATAGACTAATTAAGTAACTAACTAATACGGTTATTATTTAAGTAACCCCTATAGTATTATAATCTAACAAGGCAAAGATCCAGATCCAGCTTCTAACAGGCCCAATGGGCAGACTTTTTTCAGAAAACATTCTCAATGCTCTAAAATACTAAAGCACAATTTTTTCAATGCGAAAGTCTTTTTTAGCTGAATGACAAGTTCCACTCATGTTTATTATACTTGGTTTTTCTAGGAAGACTTCTATGCAGTAGTAGATTGGGCTTCCAAGATTGATCCTTTGCGATGTATATCCATGCATGGAATTACTGAGCGTTACATTTCTGGTCAAAAAGCAGATGCGGCAGGATTCGTACGTCGTTTGCTAGATGATCTTGGAGCAAGGATCTCCATGCAGTTTGGTAAGGTATGTATCTTATATTCTTGTTCTTATCTTTCATTTTATTCATACCTTCCCCACTAAATCTGCTATGAAAACCACAAAAAATCTTTTTCTCATCTCCCTTATATATCTTTGTAACTTTGGGCTTTACCCATTACTCCATTTATCAACGGAGTTTTTTTATCTTCACAAAAAAATGACAAATCTTTATCCATAGTTCAAAAACGCTCAAAGCGTCTAGCTTTTTTAGCTAGTGTTTTTTTTTACTTTAGGAGCTTAAGTACGTTGAAAGTTTCAATGTCATTTTTGTATTTTTTTAAATAGTGAAATTTTATATTAAATCTATTGTAAAATACTGTCATAGAAAATTTTAGGTTGAGTTTGTTATAAAATCTTTTATGAAGGTTGAGTTTTATAGAAATAACACTTTCCGGAAGAATGGAAGGGTGAGAATGCCGGTAGTAGAGGGATTTTGGGAGAATTATGTAGCTATTATCTAACGAGTAATGACGACAGATTCTGGAAAATCGACTGGTGGAGGAGCACTGTGGACTTAAAATAAAAAATCTGCAATCGTGGTTATGGTTTAGGCCAAGGTTCGGGATGCGCCTCATCACCACCACCTGGAGCACTTGAGCTTTTGCGCGCCTTTGCGCCAATGGCATTTTCGTAAATATTTAAAAATAAGGGAAATTCACATATTTTTTATATATTAATCCTAAAATATAGGCATGTCAATAAAATAATCAATTAAATTTTTTAGTTAAAAATATATTGGATAGAAAAATTATTATAATACATATATTTATTAATTATTATAACACCCTATAATTCATTGTCACACTATAATTTATTTAACACATGTACACTTTATTTAGTTCCACATTGATAGATTTCAAAAAGTACAAAGAATACTCTAACAATAATTTATTTAACACATGTACACTTTATTTAGTCCCACATTGATAGAATTCAAAAAGTACAAAGAATACTTTATAATTTATTTAACTACACTTTTTTAGTTTCACATCGATAGAATTTAAAAAACACAAAGAAGGTTTGTCTATAAATAAAGATTCATTTTGTCTAAAACAAATATGAAGTCTTAAGAGTGGGAGGAGCTTATATTAAAAATAATATAACTCTTTTCATGGACCAAAGTATAAATTTTTATGCCTAAAAATTTATAAGGTCTTAAAATAATTTTTTTTGTCTTTTTTTTAATAATTTAAAACAGGCTCGGATCCGGCTAAGGGAGATGCACATCTCCCTTCAAGGTCGCATCCGTGCATATGCGCGCGCATCCGTCACCTTGTTTTAGGCCTTTAGGGAAAACCGTTCGAGTAGAATGAAGGAGGTGTAAAGTAGGGGTGAGAACAAGTTTGGGCCCATGGCCAACTCCGATGGGTCCTCATGTATGCATATTATACATGGGCCGAGAGCCCATTTCTAATATTGTAGGCCCACTCTTTTCCAGCTGGAAAGAGACTATAAAAGGAGGCTTGAAGGAAAGGATCAGTAGTTTTGATCATTATTTTGTCAAGGTATTTGTTGAGGCTTAATCAACTTGGGAGATATAAGGGAGTGTGGAGACTGTTTTATATAATTGGTACATGTTTTATATAAGGGAGTATGGAGTCATTATCTGGAGTCCAGCCCAAGATATAAGGGAGTATGGAGTCATTATATGGAGTTCTATCATAGAACACTATATATATATCTAAATAATGGATGTATTATGTAATCTTTGCATGTAATAGGGCTATAGACACCATCAATATACACCAAGCAAGAGTGGACGTACACCAAGATTGTGTGGAACCACTATAAAAATCTGGTGTTCTTTGTTTTCCACTTTTCCTCTTCTACTTTACTTTTTCTCAAGTGTGAGCGATCTAAATCTAGATCTTTGAGAGCAATTCAGGCATTCAGCATTGCTGATTACTGTTTGATCAATAGATCATTGTGCGATGTAATCAGTATTGAACCCTTTTATCTAATCAATAGATCTTGTTGTAGTAGCTAACTAGCTATTCGGAGTTTCTAACAGTATTGAACCCTTTTATCTTCTTTTCTTCTTATTTTCTGATGGATTTCCAGATTATTTACTGGTGGATCTAGTGTTTTCTATCATCTTTTGTTGATTCAGAAGATCTATCAAGTAGTTGATCCTCAAACAAAGATCAACTACATCAGGTCTGGAACAAATATTTTTCCCCGTCGCCCTTCACTTTTTTGGGACAGGTTTGGGGCAGCTCAAATTTCAATATTTCGTTTAGTATTTTGGGTTGTTTCACCGTCACGCTCGTTATGGTCTTATTTTGGGTAAAACCGACCCTCCCCACTTTTAGCTCGTTCTTTATAAAAAGGGACGTGGCATGGGGCGAGACTGCCCGAGGGGGGGAAAATAAATTTTAAAAATATTTTTCTAAAGTAATCGGACAGATCTGGATACACTTGGTTACCCATTTAAAAAGTACTTGATATAACGCCATTCATAGAGTGCTTTGACGCTAAAGTGTGTTTAGTGTGCCTTTTTTTCAACTTATCTATCTCTTATACATCTATTCCAGTTACGTATTTTCCTTATTTACTTCTGTTTTGATGTTTATTTTATTTGTTCCTTTCATTTTTAATTAACCCTATTTTCATTGGTTTTATTCCCTTTGAGATGTTTAATTGTACAGTTTTCTTGGTGTATCAAGTATTAATTATCATCATCTCCCATTTTTACATTTTATGTAGTTTGTTGACGAAGCTTGCCACCAACTTGAGAGGAGTGAACGCAATGTGAGACCAGTGGGAATTCTACATTGTATCCCAAGGTATTTCAAAGTTCTTTAGTTAGTTAAATCTCAATTGTTTTTTTCATTGGTTAAATTTCAAAGTTTATTAGTTAGTTAAATGCTGAAGGAACTAAATCTCAATTGTTTTTTTTGAAAGAATTAATTTTTTGTGATACTCTTTCGGTCCAAAGGAGAGATTAATGTCCTTAATTACCGCAAGAACTATCTCAGAAGGTCTACTGATGTGCTCTCTGAACCTTTTATTTCTTTCTGTCCAGATATACCATGACAAACACCCAATGACATTCCAGAGTAGTCCCTAGGGTTGTAAACAAGTCGAGCTTTGCAGGAATTGTTCGAACTCGACTCGATAAGGAATTTCTGAGCTCGAACTTGAACTCGATAAAACAAAACTTGACTTGAATTAAAAATAATATTTTGGGATTGGGATCTTGGGTTATTTATGTTATTGTATTTTAAGTTTTATGAATGAAACTAGAAAGATAGAAAATGGGGGAATCGAGTGATCGACCCCTCTAAACATACATTAGATGTGTTTAGGGTGTCAAACGAGCCGAGCCGAGCTTTTGCTTATAGAGCCGGGCTCGGCTCATTAAGGAGTTATCTAGGCTCGAGCTCGAGCTCGAGCTCGCCGAGCCTAGTTCGGCCGAGCTCGGGCTCGGCTTGTTAAAGAATTGGCAAGCTCGAAGCTCGCGAGCCCGGGCTCAAGCTCGAACTTTTCTCCAAAAGAAATAATTTGGAGAAGTGGGGATCGATCCCCTGACCTCTCGCATGCTAAGTAAGTGCTTTACCATTTGAGCTACATCACCGTTGTCTCTAAATATAATTTTTTTTTATACTCCTCTTACCGAGCCCATCGAGCTTATCTAGCCGAGCCCGAGCAGGGCTCATCGAGCCGAGCTTTACTTGACACCCTAGATGTGTTTATATACAATTGGGTTTTAGATTAGATCTTAACTGAATTCAGTTAAGTTCTAATATACATTAACTAATTACAATTAGCACATAAGGACTAAAACGTAATTAAAAACAAATAGCATTATTTATATCACTAATAGCCCCCCTCAAGCTCATCTGTGGTAGCTGATGAGGTTGGCTTTTAGCTCGATGAATGATGATGGCTTTAATGCCTTAGTTAGTGTATCATCTCGTTGCATGGTATTTGGAATATGAATAACTTGGATAGCCTTCTTCTCCACCCTCTCCCGTACAAAACTGAAATCAAGTGCAGCATGCTTGATTTTAGTGTGGAACATGGGGTTTGCAGCCAGCTGAGTTTTTCTCAAGTTGTCACACCATAGTTTATGTGGTGTATCTACTTTCATACCTATCTCTATCAGCAAATTAGATACCCATTCAACTTCTGCAGTGGCAGTTGTGATTGCCCTGAATTCTGACTCAGTGCTGGACTTTGACACTGTAGATTGCTTTTGAAAACACCAAACTATCAGTAATTCACCCATATATAGGAGATATCCAGTCTGGCTTTTTCTGTCAGTCGCGAATCAGATGCCCAATCTGCATCACTATGTTGTAATCTCATTGGAACAAGTTTTTCTGAGCACAATCCCCATGATGTGTGTTCCAGATAGGTATCTGAGTATCTCAGAAATCTTTTTAACATCTGTGAATGTGTCTCTTTGGGTTTCTCCATGAACTGAGCTAACTTGTTCACTGCATAAGCAATATCTGGCCTTGTTGTAGTGAGATACTGCAGTGAACCCACCAACTGCCTACATTCAGTAGAATTCTGAATTTGTTCTGCCTCAGAGTAAAGATCAGTATTAGGTTGCATAGGTGTAGCAATGGGTTTTAGGTTTTTGTACCCATGCTTATTAAGAAGATTCACCAAGTATAACTGCTGGTCTAAGAATAAACCATCAGAGTGCTTCCTAACTCTGATTCCCAGAAAATACTCCAAGTCTCCACACACTCTTACAACAAATTCAGATTTTAATTCATTCAAACATTTTTCTATGCCTTTAGCACTTGAGCCTGTAATGACCATGTCGTCTACATATACAAGTAAGTAGATGACTTCCTCTCCAGACTTTATAAACAGTGACTCATCAGATATGCTTGCCACAAAGCCTTTTAGACACAAAAATTGTTTCAATCTACAAAACCACATCCTTGAGGCATGTTTCAATCCATACAGAGCCTTCTTCAGTAGACACACATGTGTGGGTCTTTCTTCATCAAGAAATCCCATGGGATGCCTCATGACAATTCTCTCATCTAACTATCCATGCAAAAATGCATTGCTTATATCCACCTGTTGAAGTGACCAACCTTTGGATACAACCAATGTAAGCACTATTCTGATTGTTTTGTGCTTGACAACAGGCCTAAATGTCTCAGTATAATCCAGTCCTTCTACTTGATTGGTGTCATTGGCCACCAATCTTGCCTTCAACCTCTCTACTGTCCCATCTGACCTTTTTTTCACTTTGAACAACCATATATTATTTATTACATTATCCACTGGATTCCTTGGGATGAGTTCCCAAGTCCCATTCCTTACAAGAGCATTGTATTCCTCCTGCATTGCACTCTTCCATTCAGGGTCTTGCAAGGCATACTTCACTGACTTAGGAGTTTGTTTTGGTGTGGGAGATATATTGCAAGCATATCTCTGAATTTTCTTGACAATTCCCCTAGCTCAAGTATATTTTTAAAAACATATATATGTTTTATAGGAAAAACTGCTGCCTACCTTTGGAGATAGCTACTATGCAACAACGGGTAACTAATCTCCTGAGGCAGCATTTAGTAATTTAAGCACTAAATGTCATAGCTCTGTAATAAAATTCCGATGATCTTGCTCATCTCCCTATTTTTATCTTTTCTATCTTTGGAGATAAGTACTATGCAACAGTTGGAGATCAACCTCTTGAAGCAGCATTTGGTAATTTTAAGACTAAATATCATAACCTTGTAGGAACGTGTCGATGAGCCTGCTTATCTCCCTATTTTTATTCTATTCTTATTTCCATTATAATTTGGGTTCTGCCCTTCATTGTTCTAAAGGAAAATCAATGCATTTCCTTTTATTCTATCTTCTAATTGCTAAAGTATTTTCTTGAACAATTTCACTTACTACAACAAAATTATATCTGAAAGCTTTATTTTGTGTGATTCTTAGATGATTTGGTAGACACACTTTATGCTTGTTTAATTGTTTACACGAAGAGTGCACTTATGTTTAAAAAATTATATTTAGGTTTGCAGTTCTCGCAACACGCATGGAACAATACATCCAGGGTCATTCCCGGGATTTAGTTGATCAGGCTTACACAAAAATAGTAAGTGACGTTTGTCTTTGTTTTAGTCAATTGCACGTCGATTACATTTTTATCATGGTGCCATTGTGTAGGAGTAGAGAATCGAAATCCTTAATTTATTATTTATTTAAATTTTACATTGTACTTGTGATTGCCGATTGGTAAACTGAGTCCATGATGATTGTTCTGTTTATGAAAGATGGAACTTATGAAAATTGCACAAAAAATGGATGTTAATTGAAAATATTCAATATCATCCATTGTATTTGAAAGATTAAACATTATGATTAAGCCATTAAGAAGTATTGTATACGGCTTTTCTTAACAGATTAATGCGATGTTTGATAATTTGGAAAGAGTAGCTCAAAGTGACCCGAAAAATTCCGATATTATTCTTCTAGAGAATTATGCAAACTTCCAGACCAGGTACCTTGATCCATTTTTTCTTTCTACATTGAATGTACCTTAGTTCTTTCTTGATCAATTTGCTTATAAGACTTAAAGCGTCCGATCGTATGACTAGATATTTTGCATGTATTCAGTCTTTATGATCTGGCTAATACTGTGACTTCTCTACAAAAGTTCTATCACCGTGCAAGTGAATCTTATGACCAGGCTTGCTTACGCCATGTCCGTATGATTATTTCCACTGTAAGTAGTATATTGATATCTTTTGCCCTTTTTAAATATTCATTTAACAAGGCGGTATTTTACTCTTTTTTAGTTAGAAATAATATTGTGAATTGAAGAAAGTATTATGGATTTTTATTTGTCAATTGGTTGTGTTATGTTATATGAATCTAATCATGGATATTCATTCGTTTTTTACAGCAATTTGAAAAATTATTTCAGTTCGATCAGAAAATTGAGAATTTGCTGTACACGATTATACCAGGAGATGTAAGTGATAAGCATATGATTGCATTTGTGGCTTAAATAGTCAAACAAATACTATGTACATCTATTTTTTTCTTCTATTCATACAATCATACCTTCATTTTCTTTACTAGTGTTTTATTGCTTAAGTCTTTTACACTTTGCAATTCTATATTCATGGCATAGTTACTACTACTTGCTAGGTATAATCCTAGGTTTTTTAAATTGGATCTTTTGCAGATTCTAAGTGATTAACATAAAAATAAACCTGCATTTATACCAGTCAAAATATGAAATGGAAAATGCTTAGAAGAGTACTTTTTTGTTGTTAACCTTAGATACCTTTCCAACTTGGGGCCTCAAAGATGGATCTACGGAAGACATTGAGAGCTTCTTTAAATGGAGTAAGTCAGTAAATGACATGTATTATTGATGATGGATATATATTAGATGCAGAAATTGAATACAATATCTTTCTCTGGTTTCTAGATTGATAAATCAATTTTCACAATGCAAAAAAGATTGCAGAAGAGCTTAAATTCGGATGAGTTGCTGCCTTCTTTATGGGCTAGATGCAAGGTCTGCATAAAATCTTTAAACTTATTATTTATCCTAATGTTGTTATTTTTTTACATTCCGCAATATTAAATAAAGGGTGGACCATCAAATATCTGAATCTCGAGTTCTCCTAAAGTCCTAAATCCTAATGTATCTATATATGCACATACTGTACATATAATATCTATTGCAAATATCTACCAATCTCCATCCTTTTATTTTATTGTTCTGCATTTCATTTGGTCACAAACCAATAAAAAGTTATCGTTTGCAGAAAGATTTTATTGATAGGTACGAGAGCTTTGTGAAGAATGTTGTGAAAGTATACCCCACGGAACCAATACCGTCTGTTGATGACATGAAAAGGAATTTTGCTAATGTTGCCAATTTTTCATGAGGTGCTCGAGCAGAAGGCTATTTATTCTCTAAAAAGTTGTGTAAATTTATGTATTATTATTTGTGATGTTTTTACATTGTTTTGTAATTTTATACTGGTTGGTATAAGACTATAAGACATTACAGATTTACAGGTATATTATTATTTGTGAAGCTTGCGTATAGTTAAGCTGTGAAAATAAATAATACATCGTTTAATTTTTAAAAATACTTTAAAAATCTTTATTTAATATAATGTTAGTATGTGAAAATAGTTTATTCATCCAACAACCATGGTGAATTGGTGAGTCACCACTCACCACCATGAGAAATTTGGACATTTAAAAAAATTAATATCAGGACATATATGAATATAAAATGTGAACATTTAGATATTTTCATTTTGTTGGAAAGTTTTTGACGTCCTTTACACGAATATATAATTTTTTGATTCGTAAAATTTTTATTTTTTTATTCAGTTAATTGACCGTTATTAATAATTTAATAAGGTTATAATAGTCTTTTTTTCAACTTTAATTCTTTCATTATTATTTGATTGTGAAAATTTTCTTTTGTTAAAATTTGACATCTTAAATCAAATAAATAAGGATATTTAAATAAAAACATTTTAAATCAAATAAATATGAACATTTAAATTATGTTAAATGATTTTGATATAGATGATATGATCAAACAATCATATCGTTATGTAATAC